TTTTTTTTCCTGTTATTTTAGTTGTATTTCTATAAGAAGATAAAAGTTACCATAGAAAAATAGAAAGAAGATAGAAAGTAATAATATTTGTCCAATAAACATTTTTCTCTAATAGTATTAGAGTTTGAAGCAAACAAACCAGCCGTATCATATCAATCAAATCAAATAAATTTGAATTTTCTGTATTATTTGGAAAATGTATTATTTTTTCCAGAATTCAGCCCTTTGCGTATGAGTAGCTTACCTTTTTTAACCTAGATATTAATATTTAACTGCCTAACTATTGTTCATTGTTTCATGTCATTTAAATAATTAATTGATTTTGATGTTATAAATGAGAATAATTTATCATTGGTATTCACAAACTGTTACAGACAGTAAAATTCCATTTTAAAGAGTATTTATTAGTCCAATAAAAATAGGGTGCTTGCTCTGAGTTCACTAAAAAGAGATAAATTTCAAAACAACCCGTTTTTTCTTGAATTGTTAAAAAGCTTATGCCTAAAGCAAGATTTTATGATCATTGATCACATTCCATTTAAGATGAATATAAACGATTTTTTTCCTCGAATGGTCCAAATTGTTTCTAGTTTTGTTCCAAAATTGTGAACGGACACCGGGTAAGCTGATAATTTCAAAGGGGTGATTACAAATTACACAGAACATTTAGGAGTTTGAGTGTCAATTTCATTAGAGCGGGTATTGAAAGCAATGCTTTGTTTCCAGCGACTATTGTGTGAACATGTCCGCAGCCGCTACAATTCACCAAGCGCTGCGGTGAGATTAGGGGTCTTGCTACGGTATTGTCGAGCATGCATTACACCCACAATGTCAAAAGCTTTGCTACAGAAACTGATATTTCACATAGTAAATTTCAGTTCTTAATGACTGATGTAGTATTCTAATTAAAGATTAATAAGGACTATTGAAATGCTTTTAATATAATCCATCCCATTTTAGGACTACAAGACCCAGCTCACAGTTCAAGTTAAAACATATTATTATAGGAGTACCCCCATTAATACCCCAACCCATTAATAACCCCATCAATAAATTTACAGTTTACTTATTTATATTAAAGACACCTTATAGTACTAGTTTATGGTTGAATAGCTATAATCAGCAATATTCATTTTTCTTTGAATATAAAAAATATGGTGAAAATATTTTTTCCAAATAAATGTTTAAAGAAAACATTCCTAAACCTTTTTAAACTATTCTCACTATTTATTTTTTGTTCAATAACATAAAACTACTGTGAAAGTTAGTTGGGACCAAATATATATCATATTTCTTGTGTTGATATATATTAAGTTTTGAGAATTTAAATGATAATAACAGCAAGGTTTGAGACAAATGCTGTTTCAATTCGCCCTAATATGTATAGTACTTTTCGACAATTTAAAAAATATAAAATTACGCTCATCTCCAAAATCTATCTCATGATTTATTTCACTAAAATCTTTAAAAACCTATATTTATATAATATGACGGTTTTGATTGGACAATTTTTACACGATTTTTAGGTAGGAGCAAATAAGAGCACATAAACTAAGAAAACTTTTCAGTTGTGTTTTCTATAAAACTATTAACAGTGTGTGAGAGGGCATAAACTATTTCCAAATAAAAATAAAGTATTTTAAAAGAATTCTTGTTTATGCAAGCTTTTCAAACGAGTGAAGCTTTAATTAAAATGTCAATACAAAAGCTTAACTCCCACCAAAGTACATTTCTCGTGTTGGACATATTCATATAGTGACAGAGCGACATGGAAATCCATTCGGGTTATTATTTAAAACTAACAAAATTTAATTGTAGAGCTTTGTCCATAGCGTTTCTACATTCGTAGTTTTAAACAGGAATATGGAAGTTTGCAAATATAAAATACACATTTACTTTTTCAATATGTTTTTACAACCTGAAAATATTTCTCTATTTGATAGAGTGGTGTATTCTTTTCTTGAACATAAAATATATGTTAAATTGATTTATAAATAATATATTTTTTATGTTTAATCCCTTTCCATATGCTACCTACATAATTTTTTTCTTGATACATCTACATGACATATACAGAGAATAGATTGTTTTTATTTCAATTCAAGAATATTATGATTCAGTAATTTGTTTTAAAGTGTAGAACTTAAAAAATCAATAAAAATAACACAATGAAAGCATTATTTCAAATAGAGTTTTGATATTAAAATTAATTTTGGCTCAAGATATTCGTATATCAATTAGAAATGCATATGCTAACATATTCATTCAATTTAAATATACAGATTTAGCCGTTGTTATTGAAGTGGAGTATTCCAATAATACATTTGAGCACCCAGCAATTTAAAGCGTAATTTCACATAGAATGTTGAAATTTAAAATTAAAGTGTGCTTGACAGAATGATATTACCATTGACTATTGGATACAGAAGATATTACTCATGTATTAATAAACAATGCAGTATATATTTATTTGATTTGATTTAACAATTTTGTCTAGTTAGTAATCTATTTCAAAGTGAGTGCAGTACTTGTAAAAGCATGATTTCAAATACAATTTTGATGTAAATTGTGTTGTGTTTGTAATTGATACAACCCATGTTTTAATCTAAAAGAAGTTCATTTGGATATAAAATATGTTTTTAATCATTTTTTTCTCATTTAGTTGATACTGTATTGTTTATGAAATGCGTATTAATATTAGCCTATTTATTAAATTAAATTAATTATTTTTTACATTCCCTAATATTTAATCATTAACTAACCGTGATCATGGCCTAAGCGCCATGATAATTTGTTTAGTAAATTAAAGGGTACTGCTAAATGTTTAGTTCATCTACTAATGTTGATAAAATATTTAAAAAATTTAACCACCCCAAATTTTAAATTTTAATTTTAAACTAATATAATTGATGAACTGTTGAAAATTTATTACTTACATTAAAATCAATTTTTTTACCTAGTGTCATCTACACATAAAGCTTGACAAACATAGCTTATGTACAAGTCTTAAAATAAAATTGTCGGTTTTTTATGCAACTTTATATTTAAAAAATTTAATATCTACAAATTTTAAATCAAAAATAACTTTTTTCTATCCGAAACACAACAAAGTTGGGGAAACATAGCTTTAAAAAATAAATGTGTATGTTTTATAAGGGTTTACAAAATATTAAAACATTTTAACATCACTAAATGTTAAACTAAAGTTCATTTTAAGCCCAAGAAGCTTTCTACAAGACCCAAAAATTGAAAACGTTTCTTTACAAGTCTTTTAAAATCAAATTGTGAGCAGTAGGTTTGTTGGAGTGGTGGAGATAGGTTTAGAGGATGGTGTTATTGATAAGGTTACAACGGACCTACTCCTGGGACCACTTGGAGATTGTAGACGGGAGGGAAGGAGAGGGGGGGAAGTGCTAATCCAGCGACAATCGCAGCTATCTCGCTGGTTCAGACTCAATCGAAGCTAAGTCCCACCAGCTGGTGTACAAACCAACCTCTTAACTGCTTTATTGGAAAAATGTTGGAAAACCTCCTTAAGAAAAGTGCATTCCAACAAACTCTATGTGACATCGTTTCATTTGAGAACTAATTTTCTGATAGTCGCCAAACAAAACTTTTTTTTAAAAAAAGGTAATTTTTTATACTTTAAAGAGTGAACGATAAATTATTGTATGATTTACGGTATAAGGATGAGATAAGAGATATTTTCAAACACTACACTATATTTACACCGTAGTAGATTTTTTAATGAAAAGCTATAGATGATATTTATTTTAATATGTGATGCTTTAATGTGTTAAGTGCAAATTAGGCTACTTACTAAAATTTGACTGTTTGGCTTATATTTTCAAATAATGTGTTTACAGACTGTTAAATTTTATATCATTGTCGCATAGTTGTTGTATACAGTTCACTTTTGACCTAGTAAAATCTCTCACAATGAATCAAATCTTGTCAGTTTTACTTATTAACATAACACATAATTACATACACATACACTTAACATGATACTTTCAAGTAGTTTCTACATAACATGCAAATTATCTTACTAAAGTAATTACAAAAAATGTTTAATAATACGTAGTCCAACCGAATACACAACATTCAAAATAAAAATGAATTCCGGTGAAATATGGCGTGACTGAAATACTGGAGAGTAACTGCTCCATTAATAATGTACAGTCAATCAATAGCGGAGAATAAATGGCTCACAGTTCCATTTACAACTGGATATTCATCAATAATTCATACGGATGGATTAAAATAGACCCAACTACGCCTATTAATGTCAAATACCTTGAATTCTATAGCACATATTAGGTTAGTTGTCCCAACCAATGCAGTCTAACTACTTGTTGGATTTTGATTCAAAAATACATTTAGTAACAAATGCTATACTCTCAAGAAAAACAAATTATTATATAAAGTGTTCTACTGAGGTTTTTAAGTTCATAATTGTAAAGGATTACTATTTTAATTTTAGTTCAAGGAATTTTTCCTCGTTAAGTCTTAAATCTACGTTTTGGCATGAAAGGAAATTCATCCTTTTTTTCAGTTAGTCGCTTAAAGTTAGTGTAGTTTAAGGTAGGAATAGTAAATGAACAAAAATTTAAGTTTTGTTCTAATACAATTTTAACCACAATTCCACAAAATTAACTAATGCTTTCAGTAGAGGGATTTCATTAACACAAAACAAATTATAATTGTTTAATAACCTATTATTTTTTATCCTACAACTTAAGAGTTTTCAACCACTGAACCTCGCTACCACATAAAAGCCATCGATGGTTAAGCTTTTTGTACTTCAAACAAGAAAAACACTTTCAAAACAAAAAAGACAAAACTGTCAACTGAGTATTATTCCATCCATATTTTCTTCAATTGCCCAATCACAACACATAATACTTTAACAGATTGTTTAACTTCTGCCGACGATACGGAAAAATGCAAGTGATCTAAGAGATATTTTTAAGTCTACAGCAAACTCAAAGTTGTCCTACCTGAACAGAAGAAATCCGAGACCTGTGACAGCAGCTCTTCGTACATCATCATTAACATCAGACACCTGCATTGGAAAAACATATGTTACACAAAACCCACAATAGACTTACTCCATTGCAGTATGAAACATTGAAAATGATAATAATACAGACACAGACAAGAAACAACAACACACATTCAGAACAACAGATATTCAGAATGAAGAAATAGATTCACAACTAACTTACCCAAGAAGAGTTCGGATCAATTTATAGAAACTGACACAATTTTTGGGTGAATACTGAAGTTTCAAAAAAATTAATTTGATATTTCTTCACTCGTACAACGGGTTTTTTATCCAGAAGAACATTATAAGAGAAGTCACCTTGTAACTGCCTGGAACTCTTTAATAAAGGAAGTTATTTGTGTATATTTTCCTTCTTTCTCAATGTATTTCCAAGCCAAAAAGCTCTTTCCTCAAAAACTGAGACTAATATTCATAATACATTTCCAAGAAAATACAAACAAAAGAATTTGTGTGGTTACAGGGGTAAAGCAATTTGGTGTATTTTATTTAAATTTATACTATCTATTGATCTAATTATGTTCGGTCTTTTTTTATCAAAGTTTAAACTACATTGAAAGTATCCAATTTAAAATTAATTTGTAACACAGTATATAAAAATATATGGGTGACAAGAAATCAGAAGAGGCTTAAGATCAATTACCACCATAAAAATATTAAATGAATCCTGTCTGACATATGGAAACTTTTTCCGAAATGTCTTGACTATACCTATTATTTATAGCAGTGTTTCCCAACCAGTGTGCCGCGGCACACTGGTGTGCCAGTAGGCCTCTGTAGGTGTGCCGCGAAATTTTAAGTAGTTAAACAATTTTTGATCAAGAAAGAAACTTTTAATAAACAAACGTCAAGCACAAGTTTCCCACTAGAACTGAAACCAGGGTTTATTTAATATTTCTCACTCATTATTGGTAAATTCATACAACATTTTAATCAAGCTCAATGTTTTATTATTATTTAAAACTTTCCACTTAATAAACACTAAATATTGTACATATGTTGGATAACAAATGTGAGTTTTATATTTTTTACCTTGGTAAACCCACCTTTATATTACAGACATATATACAGGGTTAGTAAAAAGTGTGGAGACCCCCTGTTATTTTTTAACGGCCCATACTAGAAAAACTAAACTCGGCACACCTTTATGACATGTTATGAAGTACTTTTTGGGCATAACCGTCACTTGGTGTACATCCCCAAAATGGGGGATTTTGGGGGAAACTCAAAATTTTCAAACACAAAGACCCATCGAGTGACCCCTCATTTTGAAGGTCCTTGTAAAAGAAAACCAACAACGCAAACTAGAGGTCTTTATCTCAATCCAGCAAAAAATGGCAGCCAACTGAAATTCTCAGAAGTTAAATTTAACTTACAGCTTGCCAAGTCTGGAGACCCGCAGTAAATTTTGTAGCGGCTCACACTAGGATAACTAAACTCTACACACCTTTTTGGCATGTTATGAAGTACTTTTTAAGCCTAATAGCCAATTGCTTACCAAACCCAAAATGGGGGATTTTGGGGGAAACTCAAAAGTTTTAAATGATAAGCCCCATCCAGTAAAAAATGGAAGCTGATTGAAATCTTTAGAAATCGGAAATAACTTGCAATTTTATATTCAATTGGCTGCCATATTTTACTGTGTTAAGATAGAGACCTATAGTTTGCATTGTTCGTTTTATTTTATTATGACCTTCAAAATGAGGGGTCACTCGATGGGGCATATCATTTAAAATATTTGAGTTTCCCCCAAAATCCCCCATTTTGGGTTTTGGAACCTATGATAATTTCAATTGGCTGCCATTTTCTACTGAACTGAGATAGAGACCTCTAATTTGCGTTGTTGGTTTTCTTTTACCAGGACCTTCAAAATGAGAGGTCACTCGATGGGTCTTTGTATTTGAAATTTGTTAGTTTCCCCCGAAATCCCCCATTTTGGGGATGTACACCAAGTGGCGGTTATGCCCAAAAAGTACTTCATAACATGCTTTAATTGTGTGCCGGGTTTAGTTTTTCTAGTATGGACCGTTAAAAAAATAACAGGGGGTCTCCACACTTTTTACTAACCCTGTATATTTACTAGTATAAAATAGGTTATACGGAGTAAGATGTACATGAAAAAAAATTTTTTATGCACTTACTAAATGTAATTTTAACCAACGATATTTTGTAGACAAGTGTGCCGTGACTCCAAACTTGTTCTAGTTAGTGTGCCCTAAACGGAAAAAGGTTGGGAAACACTGATTTATAGTAACCCACACTTCATCAAAACCTTTTACACTAAATATAGAATTTAAATCATACTTGAGAATAAACTATTTCCTTTACAGTTCACAGCACAAAATTTTCATTTATTACCATCCAAATACGACAAAAGACTGTGTTATGACAGTCAACAAAACCTAACAGGGTCAATTTCCACCGCCTTCCAGATTAAAGTGTCACTCTTCATTAAGGCGAGCAGGCACTTTGACTTTGTATTTAAACTGTTATATTTGAGTCGCTTAACTTCCTTCTTGATGAACTATTTACCCTTTAGTTCCATGATAACAAAGAGTTTAAGGTAAAGTAAATTTATCAAAAACATTTGCTATATTTCTTCCTTTTTTCATTTGGACACCAGAATCTTTTATTACGATGTAAGCAAATATGTTCTTTTTTCTACCACTTTATCTCTATATATTTTTTTTTTTTTTTTTTGGTGAGGAGGGTTCAAGAAAGAAAATGACTTATGTTAGATTTTGTGTTTTCATAGTATGTTTCATTAGTATTTGTAATTTTCCTAAGATGCCTCGAAGAGATCACGCACGCAAAGAAAATATTAGGGCTCGCAATGCAAATAGTAGGGGTATGATGAGACATAATCGTTTTCATCCTTATCAACTACCCATTATATCAAATAAATAACAGATTTTGAAGTCACCAAGTGACGCAGGTTGCTAGTATAATAATATTTTACGTTTTACAGGATTTTCAGTGAAGTAAACTTATTCAGTAAGTACTACCGTAGACTTTTGGATACTGAATTAGACATCCCATCTACATGGACCAGCTGTAACCAATTTATTACATAAGAAAATGAAAATAGTTAAATTAGCCACTCACAGGTGCTACATTCTATATGTTATCTCTTTGTAATAATATAATAAAAGTGACTTTGGTAGTTTACGTGGCTTAAAGGTGCTATTTCAGTTTTCCGTGGTTAAAAAATTATCAACACACTTTGATGTTGGCTCAAACCAATCTATACATTAATGTTTTCTATGATCGGCAATAGCTTTTTCATGGTAATGGAATGTCTAGTTATATCCATAGTCAAAGGCATAGGTAAATAGAATAACCACAACAACTTACCGCAACATGAAGTAATTTCCGGATGGCCTGATTGCTACCGGTGCCGCAGTACGCCATGGCGAGTGTGTACATTCCCGAGCGGCGCAGGATAGGGTCCTTGTCTTGCATGAGAGATGTGACGAGCGGATCGGCCTCCTCAAGTCTGCCGAACATTGTCAAGGCGATTCCGACGGCCAGACCTCGCAGAATCTTCTCATGCTGCGTCTCTTGGGCGTACTGCAAGAAAAAACACATTAGAACAACTAGTCCAATTGGAGAACTGCAGAAAACACATAGAAAAAAATTGAGTCCTGTTTGAAGATTGCGGGAAAATCCAAACTGGAATAATTGAGTACTGTGGAGAACTACAGGAAACAAACCTAGAATAATTAAGTATCTATAGTTAAATGCAAGAAACATACACTACTAAAATTGAATATATCTTTTGGGTATACTGCAGGAAATGAACTCATCAGAAGACTGAGTACCTAAACAGAGAAAATATTGCAGAAAACAAATCTGACAAGGCTGATTATCCTGGGAATACTTCAGGAAACAAACAAATCAGATCATACTGAGTATGGTTTTTTGTTTTTTGTTTTTAGGGAGAGGAGGTAAAAATGCTTTTACGCACACAGGTAGCCAGCCTGTAGTGTGAGACTCCTGAGCTTGTCAGACTACTCACTAAGAAACCCCCTCTACTCTGTTGGAAACAGACCTTGGATTGTTTGTCACATTACTTCAGGTCAGGTCAACGTGTGACCTAAGCCCTCAGGGCTCGCACCGTTTCTGGCATTCAATTTCTTTCTCCATACTCAGCAAAGAAATGCTGAGTATGGTAGGAATATTGCAGAAAACAAAGGAATCATATTATGTTGTTTAAATAATGATTTGTCGTGTACACAATTTCAGTATCTTTTAAATTGTTTAGGTTATTTTTACACCAAAGACAATATCTACCATTATGTGTGTTTTGTAGGCCTACAGAAGACTATTTCATGAACATAAACTATTTCTTGTTACATTTGATAAACCATTATACCAAAATACTAAATTTTCATACCTCCATCTACAAAGTTACATTTACTTTTGAGAAATTTGCAAAATTTACTCATTAACCTATGAAACTGACAAAGTAAGTGAAATTAATACGGAAGAGCTCTCGAGCTTTAGACTTATTAATCTTTGTTCTCAACAGTAATTCTATTCCACAGGGTATAAGGGTTTCGTTCCAACAATAAATCTATGGATATGAAAAGTTAATCAATATATCAATCTTTAGAACTCAAGTGGAAATTTAAAAAAAATAGCAGATCAAAATTGCCGAAAATACACAATGCTTTATTAGGAAATAAACAAGGTAGAAGAATCAAACAATAAATTACAAGTAACACAACATAATCTTTACAACATTCTAGAAAAATTATAGCTGAGAATAGTGTTTGAACTTTTGATTGTAAAAAAACTGATATATTCTTGTATTTGTATTCTATAAATGAGTTTTAAAATTAATCCATTTAAAAGGAATTATGTAATGAAATACTTGAACATGAAATTCCGTTTTAAAAACTGTGTGTCACGAATAAATGTTTTATTTTATTTAAAAGGGTATAATTAGATCAATACGTGCAAAGTAATTTGATGACTGTATATTTTACTTACATGTATATTTTAAAAATAAGAATATCTAATCCAAAGTCTCAATGCAAAGCTTTATGAAAACCCTTAAAAAATTGTTATGCCTATTTTGAGAGGAAACAATACATAATTATGAATTAACCTGTAAAATATTAAATACATAGATCAAAACGGACACTAAAAATACACATGTTACAATTAAACATCTACTTTAATTGAAAGCAACATATATTTTCCTTTTAGATACGATGAGTCATAAAGCTGCAACGGTGTAGTATCTTGAATTGCAAAATGCAAGTCGTACTTCTCAGTGCAGACAGGCCGGACGTATCGACCTACAAATTATCAAGATAAGGTAGGAGTTAGCACGGACTCGTACTCATTACCAATGGCCGAGGGTTATCTTCCCTGAGCGCTTCCTCCCCAACTAACTGCCAACTGCTTTTAACAACTTCGGTGGAAGGAAACAAGGCATTGATTTATTCGTCCAACTTTTCAATTAGGGTCGCTATACTTCTTATTCAAGTGGTGTACTGAAATATTACAATTTTCGAGAGTAGCTTTGAGTCATACTTTAAATGCGAAAGATAACCCCTAGAATTGTAAAGTTGGTCCTTTGACGGATTCTTTTAATGTCTGTCGTTTTAAGTCCATTAAAATGTTTAAACAACTTTGGTGGAAGGAAAGCGCCATTGATTTATTTTAAAATTACAATTAGGTTCGCTATACTTTGTACTATTATTCAGGAGGTATATTAAAATATTACAGTTTTTGGAGTAACTTAAGGGGATGCTTCGAAGTCAAAAATAACCTGAGAATGGTCAAGCTGGTCCTTTGACAGCTTGTTAATGTCTCTGGATTTAAGTCAAACTCTTATTGATGACAAAACACTTCTTATGGTTCCTGCACAGCTGGTGAAATAGGTGACAAGTCAATAACTTAAATACTAAGAGTAAATTGTAATGTTGTTTTAATTTGTGTGTTATGTACGCCAAAGGCATTTTTTAACATTTTGAAAAGGAAATGTAAGAATGTAATTAACGTTAACACTTGACAAAATAAGCCAAGTGAAAAAGTGAGCAAGGACATCATTAATGTGGTTTTACGCCCTACACAGTAACATAAATTGAACTTCTTTTATTTTTATTTACTGTGACAAACAAAATCTTCAATTCTAGTATAAAGTTTATGGTCAAGTTTCTTTTCCAAAATGATGTGGTAATTTTTCAAAAGAACTCAATCATGTATGGGAAATTGAAAGCCCTTTCTATTTCTTGAATTGTTCTTGTATTGCTCACAATACAAAGCTCTATGAAGAGAACCCCTCATACATGCGTGCCAAGTTCTTTAACGCCCTTCCCGTCCACTTGAAGTCTCTTGAGCCTAGAAAACTGAAGAAGGAACTTGAGTGCTGACTGTTACTTAGACCTTTCTACAGCATCGATGAATATTTGTCTTGGCAAGAACTTGAATGACTAAAAATGTTTTCACTGCAAGGACTCTAACCAACTACATTTTTAATTGACAAATTATTGTATAGACGCCTTTCAATTCTAAAAAATTGCAAAATAAGGTACTCTTGTAACAATTATGAAAAACATTGGTCTTCCATTAGTTTATGAAAATTGTATTTAATAAAATGTTAATGATTCAAAACACATAATGAGGATATGCTACAGTCAGAATATTACGTAACTTACTTTAACAATACCTTTAAAATAAGTTCTCGATTTTTCATCAGTCACAATTCTAAATCACGATTTTTCATTTTTTAAATGCATTCATCCCTTAACGTTCACTCTACAACTGAACATCATGTATTTCCGAGGCTGAGATCACTATTATTGACTACTGCAGTTAACTAGTATTATTAAGTAGTTTAATATACTATTATTAAGTCCACTTATTGTCAAACTAAACAAGAAATGGAAATGACCCACACATTCTACCATTGTTCTGTTTAGTGGTTAAACAGTAGGTCTCCCGTGTATAGAGTTGTCAATAACAGGCATGTATTTGTAATGTCACTTGACTACTTTGGCATCAAACATTAGTGATCATATTGACTGTAATGCACCGTCAGAGCTAAACTTCCGATAGGACAATATTCTCTTTAAATCTGTCAGAAATTACATTAGCATTTTTCAAATAAATTTTGAAACATTTTCTACTAAGTTTTGCTGAAACGTCAACTTTTAGACCCTTGCACTACACATTTAGCATTTATTTCTATCTTCAAGCAATCCTAATCTCCTAAATCTTCCTAATGAGGAAGGAGCCTAAGATATAGTATATCTTAAATTACATATATGAGATATTTCATAACTTTACATGTACATGGACAACCATCAATAGCAAATTTTAATGTTTTTTATACCCTCCAAAAAAACTTTTTTTTATAAATATATAACGTCTAGTAACAGTTGCCGAATAAATGTTTTTTTGTAGTCATATTTTAAAGAAAAATACAACTTGCAAAATATTGAAGTAATTGGTTTATTTATTGGATCAAGAGGGATCTTTTAATGTTTTTCCTATACATTTTGGAAAAGATTTAAACTGGACAGAAAGATTCTAAAGAAAATTCTCATTGTAACATTGAAAACTTCAATATCAATCCTAAGAAATCATTTATACTCAAACTGGTCAAGATCAAAATTATTGTGTAGTTTTAATGAAATAAAATGAAAAATCGTTTATTTTTTTTTAGGCAAAGATAGTGCAACATGGCCCTTTCTTACTCCTAACCTGACATTCATAAATATATAGAAATAATAATACAATGGGATTTAATGAGTTATTTTTTTCCGGTTAGGCCTAAATTTTTTTTGTTATCCCTTGTGTTCAACAGCTTGCTTGATGGAGCAAGAAAGATGTAATTTATTTAATAAATTATCTTTATACAAGTGGCCTGGCTAAATTCTTTAAAATCAAGTGGAAAAATGTTTAAGGAAAATCAGTTAATTTGTCACAAGCCAAATCTAGTTCTCTGATCCCAGTTATTGCTTCATCTGGATTGAGAAAATATCACCCGTTTCCAATTCCAACAAAACTATTCAAACTGGCTCCAAAGAGCATTATCAAAATCAAAACTGCTAGAGTTTAAGTGAAATATATCCTCATTGTAAGGACTAAATATTACCAAGAAGTGTTTTTAAGGTTTTCAGTCCAATGACAATATACAAAAATAATCACTCAAAATTTCAAGTATTGATTTAAGTATTGATCAAAGTGTTGATTTTAAACTGTAGGTGGATGGTATTGTAATTTTAACGAGAGTCATGTTTAACTGGTTTAATTATCCAGAAGGTGTAAGGAGCTCAGACTACCATTAACTAACTGGTACAGTATTAACAGTTTCGGAGGAACTGAGCCGCGTCAAGACTATATTAACCTGCTCGATGTTTTGCATGTGTTAACTTTAATCTTGTTTGAGAGTCAACATTTTTTAGACACTCAACATCAATGATTAAACAAACTCTAACCTACTATAATATTTCATTTAATTTAATCAAAGATAATCAAAAGTATTTTTGTATCAAAAATATTCCTGCAATTGTTATTGGGTTAGAATCTTTTAAAAATTTCAACATCATAAT